ACTTATCACGAATATCGACGATGTCTATCAAATTAATTCTAAGTCCTTTAAAGATTACTATTGTATTCTTGATAGTCTTTAATCATTGACTATTTTCTGATCAATGTAAAACATTTTTGCACGTTTTCATATAATCATAGATAGTTATTATCGACATAAGATAAATATTTGCTCTATTTCGAACGCCTAGAGCACATTGTGAATTAAATATTTTTTTGAATCAAATCTAAGAATCATTTAAAAACATGCGAATGTCTGTTTTTTTTATCTAAGTATGTTGATAAATAGTAGAATCGTCAATTCTGTGTGATAGTTACAATTAAGTTTTACTCTTTTATAGAATTCGTCAAATAGACAAATTTTGACACCTATATCGTATCGAATTTTGGCTATGTTTGAAAGTATTGTACAGATATATTTGAATAGCAGATATCGAGTACTATGTACCGAGATGAATTAAATAGTTTTATTGTTGGAATTTATAAAATAATACATAAAATATTATTAATGAGACCAGAGCTTTCAGCACATCAAGTGCCATCGTCGATAGTAAACTGTACAAAAAGATGTTAAAATGCAAGTTTTGATGTACTTCAATTAAATATCACTGAAATTACAAATAACAAATAAATAACTGAAGCACACCAAAATATATTGTCTATATAACTATAAATGATGATGATAATACTGATGAGAATAATAAACATTTGAAATAAATACAACAAATTGAAATAAATTAAGTAGCATGTTAACATCTTTTTGTACAGTTTTACTACTGACGATGGCACTTGATATGCTGAAAGCTCTGGTCTCATTAATAATATTTTATGTATTATTTTATAAATACCAACAATAAAACTATTTAATTCATCTCGTTATTATCAAATGTCTATTATGTCCATCATGAGTACTATGTATATATACATCTGTTCAATTCGAAAAACTTTTCAATCTAAAATACAATAAGAAAAAAATGATATTGTTATTATAGAATCCTTTCACGAACATTAAATTCTAAAGTATCCAGACAAATTTTTCATTTTATTAGACTTAGTCGAGTTTTTCTTGCTAATTGTCTTAGGAAAAAAAGCATTTTGAATTTCATTGAGAAACGATAGTATGAGAGTCAATGTATTAAATATTTTAATATATTTGCAATATATTTTATTTTGCGAATATTTCTGTATTAATAAATGATCAAATCTTGGTTTTTCTTTCAAAAGATGCATCATCAGAAGTTGTACAAATCGTACGAATGCAATTCTATTGACTTCTTTCATACTACTTTCCAGTGCACTTATCATAATAAAAATAGTCGAACTGCTTTTATATTTTGAATGTGTCTTGACTTTAGAAAACGATAGCATTTTGATATTTTTGTCAAACGAAGTGCCATCGATAGGTCTTTAAATACCGTATAAATAATTTCGTGTTGTACAAAAAAATACCTTTCAAATATTTTTATTATCATTTTGTGGTTTTCTTCTTACTGTATGTCATACTCACAGTATTCGATCTTTACTATTCAACAGTATAAATGTATTAAACTATAATCATATAGTTTTAATATATGGCTAAAAAAAGAGATGAGACCAGAATTTTAACACACATGATACTTTGTATTCAAAGTAAACTTCTTCTTAATGAATATGAATATTATTAGGAAAAAAAACTGAAGACACATATACAATCACAACAATCGAATGATATTCTTTTACATATGAAAGTTATCCCAATTCTCGAATAAATACATTATAACTTATACATCCAAAAGAAATAGCTTCGCGCATAATAATTATCATTACTTTAATGTAACTTCCGATAATGAAATATTCTTTAGATAGAAATCATTTTTCTTTTGACCTTACAAAGAATATCTGATCGACACAGATTTGTTTTTCGTGAGCTGAAAAATAATCAATCTGAAATTATTTATGCATTTCAATCATCATTTAATCCAATTGAAACTAATATTATTTGTTATTAGTAATAAATTTTCATACATGAATTATATCAGCGAATATATAAAACAAATTCATTAAAATTTATTTCGTTTATTTGTATTTTGGTTGAAATTGATCGTTTAAAATCGAAAATTTTCGTATACTCTTTCTCGTAGAGAAGAGTCCTGCAAGAATAAATTATTTGCTTGCTTGCGTGTCTACACTTCATTGATTGGTGCAAAAATAATCTGAATGGGGAAGTATTATTTTCCATAAAATCTGACCAAAGATAATCGAGAATGAAAAGTTCGATTCTACCGTCAGCTTTTACGGAAAAAACTTTTTTATATAAAGTTTGACCAACGCTAATCAAGATCAAAGAACTCAAATTTGAAGTTGGTTTTTTTTAAATTGTTTGAATAAATAGTTTAGGCTACCATTTAAGTGGTCAGTAGATGGGAAAATCGAAAAATCAGTAAATTTAATGAGTAGGTCAATAAAGTAATGAAATGATCAGTTAGAAATGATATCGATTTGTAACTAAATGAAAAGATCAGTAGTAGTTAAAATTTATGACCAGTAAATTAAGTGAAAAAAACAGTATAAAAATAAAAATGTGCCATAGTATCATTCATTTCTATCTTTTTTTCTTTTATTCTGCTATATCAATGTATGATAGGTGATATTTATTTTTCTCTTCTGTTTTGCTACTTCGACATGTGTCAAAAGTATGTTTATTTTCTACCTGGGATTTTTCTCGATTCATGTAACGATCGTATTCTCCATATATTGATTTTTTCATAACGCAATCGTAAATTATCACATCCGGGTGCTATCTAATACCTATACAAACTCGTGAACATTTCGGATAAATGATTATCGTCAAACGAACGAGTAGCAGAAGTCACTCAATACGACGGCGATACATCGGGTCGAGAAGTTATTAAAACCCACTGCAAAAAATGAAATCAAAGGAGTTCATAAAAAAGAAGAAGACCAAATTTGACAGTTCTAGTTGGCGAAAAGAGAAAACTTGGTCGACTAGCAAGAGCTAAATCAGCTATATAGATGCAATAATTTAATATTTGTTCTCTTTATCAGTACTAATTCATAAATTTCGTACTTAATAATAATTATTTCTGTGATTTTTTTACAAAAGTGTACTTTGCAATGACAAAAAAGTATTTTCTACTGTCATTTATACATATTATACTGATTAGTCAATACATATATACTGATGATTTCATTTATTGAACTAACTAGCTAATAAATCTCCAATAGTTTACTGATAGTGAAGAAACACTGTTTCTATGAGAAAGAGCTGTGCGAGTCTCTAGACGAGAGCGTTACCTGTTGATATAAAAACATGCTTAAATTTCACAACTTCTACATTTCATTTATTTATTAAATATCGAATCAAACCTCACATTTAACTTATTTTTTTATACATAGAGACAAAAACTAATATAAATCTTTTAAGAATAAATTATTTTTTCTTTACTGAAACTTACATATGGCGGGACAGTAAATTACATGTATAATTTGATGTAGAATGAAGAATTTCTTATGCACGTGTTAATTATGTATTAAATCATTATAATCATAAGATTCTATGGGTCATATTGATAAATTTTTAAGTAAATAATTAATGATATTTTATTCTTATGACATCTTATGTCACGAAAGAGATTTATCGATGAATCGACACACCCTGTCATGCTTATAATTATCATAAATTTCTATCTATTTTCTATTAGAATATATTTCTTTATCGTTTAGTTTATCATAACCTTCTATTTTCTCTAGTCGGTAGTACTTGAATTGAAAGTTCGATATAGTTTATTCAAATCTTTATTATTCTTAACTAATTCAATCGGTTTAAAACAGACTCGAACTTATCATAGTCTTTAAAGCTTAGTTTATAATAACAATAGGATTTTCTCATCTTTCATATGATTATATTTGATATCCGAAAAAACTTTTAAAATCAAATAACTATTATAAGTATCGAATAAAAATGAAATTAACATTATTTAATTTTAATACGATCAAATAAAATAAAAACATCATCCGACACTTTTCATGTATACTATAATAACTTTTTTTCTTTCCTCTTACTTTATACGATATAACGATTAATTTTAATGACAGGTTCGCAACTGAAGGTTTATTCTTTATTTACATGGGTGACATATCTATTTTATAATTGAATTATTTTTCAACATACTACAAACACAGATAGAACATACCGCATCTAACGGTTTATTGATTTTTAAAGGATTTAACTATATACTATCTCAATCGTTATAGAAAATTTTTACATTTTATAATAAAATATGCATTAATCGTAATTTAATTATGTCAACGAACGATTTTATTTAGATGCAAAAGATACATGTAATTATAAAAAATAATCAAATATGTAAAAAAAACATAAATAGTCTTTTTGACATGAGTTAATACAGATATTAGAAGAACATAAAACCACTTTTCTTTCCACCTCAGACTTTAAATCAGGTATACTAATAGATATAATGCGAGCCTAATCTATTTGAAGTTAAAAGAAAAACAAATTCTGTTCAATTACATCCTGTATATGATGAAATCAAACTGTTGATATTCATTATAAATAAATATATATCACATATGAATGTTTACTTTCATAAATAGTCCTTCGAATAGTTTTAAATTGACATAAATGAAAAAAAAATACTCGATATTTTTGTGATTAATAATTATCATAAGTTTATCTTGACCGTTAAAGATTTTTGAGTGTAAAAAATAAATATATATCATACTTTCAACGTGCCCTCATTAGAAAAAAACCATTAAAATATCAACCAGCTAAGGTAAATTAACTATTTACTCGTCATATATATATATTTAATCTCTATCATCAGTTATCGCGTGAGGCTTGAAAACATAAAGTTTCGATTTCTAATCTTTTATTTTGCTCTGTTACGCATCAAGGATATCTTCGATTGACGTCATAAGACGGTAATATATATATGCCCCAGTCTATCTTCAACTTTCATATTATTTTTAAAATTATTAACCATGTGTACAAATAACTCTACACCTTCATATACAACACAATATTCCACTTCATCAATGGATTCAAATTCAAATGATAGTGAAGGATGTTCATTGGAGAATACAATTGAATATGGTCCAATAAAAATTCGTCAAATTCGAAAACCAGCTCCAACAATTGCAACTGGTCGTCGACCAAAAAGTCTTGTTCTTACTGGTGATGAAGCTATTAAACGTGAACAAAGACGTGAGAAAAATCGTGAAGCAGCAAGAAAATTAAAAGAACGACGAAAATTAATTGAAAAAGAACTTGATCAACAATTAAGGGATCTCGAAGGTGAACATTCAAGTTTACAAAATTATCTTCAACAACTTCGAGACAGAAAACAAACTTTACAAACTGCAGTTA